GTTCTGCACGAAGCTTTGATTGATTCAATTTGTAGTATGTCAACCGATTTTGTTCAGTAGCGGCCCAAGCATCTACCACAAATTCTTGAAATAATTTTCCAGCTCTCAAAATCGTTGAATACTCAATGTCACGTTGGAACATACGATAACTGTAATATTGCAACTGTGTCAGTCGAGTAGATGAAGGTCCACCTTGGGAAGTGTTCCACTNAAACATACGATAATTGTAATATTGCAATTGTGTCAGTCAAGTAGATGAAAGTCTACCTTAGGGAGCGTTCCACTGTTTCAAATCTGGATTCCATCCTAACTCACCATAAGGGAACAATACCACATAAAGCAATGGCAAATAGGCTGGATGACACTCATTAATTTGCATCAAACAATTATCTCCTTTCAAATGTAACACAATATCTCTCATTCCACTTGATTCAGTTCCATCTCCCGATAATATTACCGTAATCTCATCGGTTGTTGGGAGATTATATCGACGCTGATATGTTATAGAACTGTAGTGAAGATAGGCCGGTAAATTCACCCCTGTCAATTCCAATTCACTAAAAATTGTGTGACCCTGTCGAAATTTCATAGGAAATGGATTTACTTGCAATAAACAATCTTGGATAATTTTCAAAACATCTCTTCTCAAGTTAGGATTTCTGTTGTTGTGAACATCTAAAGCTGAATTTGGATCATAAATGTACAATTGAGAGTAAATTGGTTCACACCCTGGCTGTGGCATAAGCGATCCTGTTCGATGGCGTAATTCTTCATGGATGGTGAATGTTCTAGGCCCCTTCCCAATAATTAATCTGTTATCCAAAGTAGCACCAAGACTCGTAAACGCATTAGCTACATTATACTCGCGTGTGTGTTGACGAAACGATTTTGATTGTTCATCATTGTCATCATACAATGCTTTAAGCATTAAAGGAGGTGCAATAAGTGAAGGTAGTCTAATTTTTCCTTGTAAACAACATTTACCAAAAAGAGGATTTGATACAGATGATTTTGTTAATTTTTCAGCAAGCCAGTGTAAGGTAGAACAATGAGGACATGTTCGATTCATCAAGCTGAGGAAATGACGATTTGAAATTTCATGGTTTCGAGGATTAAGTGCAACATCCATAGCTACACCTTCTTCTATAGTGTAGGCACTACAGATAAAATTTAGATGTCATACAATTTGATTGTATATATTGAATACAAACTTAAAAAGAGAACATGAATAAGACAACAAGAGTGAGAATAGGAAATTAAAACTTATAGTGAACACTTGGTGCCTTCATTCGGATTACACATTTGTTGGAACATGTTTGTCATATACNAGAGAACATGAATAAGACAACAAGAGTGAGAATAGGAAATTAAAACTTATAGTGAACACTTGGTGCCTTCATTCGGATTACACATTTGTTGGAACATGTTTGTCATATACGATGCCCCTGGGGAACATGGAGAAAATAGTTCCAAGACTATTGTTGTGCTTTTGTCTAGGTTTTGAGGAGGCAAGTCTTGGAGCATGGTAGTCACAGGCGACACCATTGAGATATTTGTTGGTGTGCCTTCTCCAAGATTTTGAGGAGGATTTTCTTGATTCATGATGGCCACAGACAATCACCATGAAACAATTGTTATAGTGTCTTCATTAAGATTTTGAAGCAAGGTGGTTGACGATGACTCTAAAACATTTGTTGTCACTATACTGTCTGTTACAAGATTGGAAATTTTGGTAGACACAGTCATTGGTTGAAGGCGGAACCTTTTATTTGATTCTTGTTCTAGGCATGCTTGACGACGACGACTCGGTGGTAAAGAAGGAAAAAATCTAGGTTGAACGGGGGCACAATGTTTTGATCGCTCTCTTTTGTGATGTGCAAGTTGTCCTAATTGACGTTTGGAGCACTCATTTTCTTTCCCAACATAACGCATTTCTGGAGCAAGCCTTGCACATTGCAGCAATGTTGATTTTGATATAACATTATAATTTGGTGCCTAAACCACAAACTCATAAAAAATTAATTATTATTTTGTTGATTATATTGTATCGTTTTTCACTTGTATATATAGCAACACGAGGTAACATGACAAATCATAGTGCTACAATGTTAACAGTAATACGGATCAAAAGATTTACTAAACTCTTATTATATAACAGTGTTGTATTAACAGAACTATCTACCTAACCATTTATCAACATTATAATTATAATAAAGTTTTTGTTTGATGCAAAAATAAAACACCATAGCCACAATTGCATCCAACACATTGTTTACCAATTATAGGACAAATGGTAAAAATTGCAATATCAGATTATAGAGTAACATCTTCTATAGTAATATGCTCGATCAATAGCATATTAAATTTAACAACTTGAAATGTATGCTATAAATAAGATCAAAATATGCTTCAAACTACTGGGAAAGGTTGAGATTTCACTATTGATCGATGCTTCAAATTATGGAATGTTGAAACAAATTTAGACTTTTAAAAAATGGGACCCAACAAAAGATTCATATTATATGTCATAACAAAAGCTTAAAGGCTACAAATCAACATTAAGATTAAGAAACTAAAACTCTCAACTACAAAACTAGTAAAAAAAAACAAAAAATCATAGTTCCTTAGTAATTCAATTGTATACACAGAATAACACGATAAAAAAATAATATTAAATGAGACAAACCAAAAACATGTTGACAAATCAAACGTTGTACATAAAATGAAACTTAAATTTTTTTAAATTCAATAACATCCAAATTTATTATAAAAACAGAGAGAAAAGAATAGGATTACAAGTGATACCAGTTGACAATCTTGATTTTTTGTTTCTTGGCTAGAAGAGGTTGTTTTTTCTTTCCCCTTAAATTTAGCATTTGCCAAAGCATCAAACCTTTTTTTCTCTTTCTGTGTAAGAAAATGCTACTTAAAAGAAAAAAAAATTGAATGAGAAATAGGTGTGAGGATACATTACCTCATGTAGACGAAGATAATTTAGTTCATACTCATTACGAATTACCACTCCTACATTATTATGATGAAGTCTTCGAACCTGTAGACAAAAAAAAACATTGAATAGTAAATAAGCGGGTAAAAGATTAGATAAAGTAAGAAAATGATAAGTAAAAAAAACCTATCATACGGTATTTTCTAGGTCGTCATCCATCTGTCACGACATTAATAAAAATAAATAAGTTATTAAAAAAATCAATAAGATCTATTTGGAGAGAGTTAATCAGATGATAAACTTACACTGCCAAATATAACGACACACGAGTTTTTTTTTTTAAAATAAAAGTCTTGAAATTCCTAGGCCTCCCCAAATTCTCCTTCTAATGACCATAGTGGTGGAAAATGTGCACCACCTACCTTAAACTATAGGAATACCAAAATATAGGGGTAGCAAGTCTTTACACGAAACTTATTCGATCTCAACTGATTCGGGTTGTAAATGGGTTAATCTTTTGTGAGATTTTGCGATTCTTTTGTGAAATTTGATGATAGTTTGAAATGGTTTTTTGGAATGATTTTTGTTGACAATGGNAATGGGTTAATCTTTTGTGAGATTTTGCGATTCTTTTGTGAAATTTGATGATAGTTTGGAATGGTTTTTTGGAATGTTTTTTGTTGACAATGGGTTATCAGAGATCTTTTTTTCTCTGACAATGGGTTGTGAAATTTGATGATCTTTTTTTTTTTTCCTGAACAGTTTCTTCCATGTGCTATTCATGAATAATTCCATTAAAGCACTGATAGTTATTGGATTCATTGATATGGGTTTTTTTTTTAGATTCGTAAACTATTGAAGATATATATTAAATTAGTATTTTGGCTTTGTAAATAATCAATGTATTTCAACTGCGTAGTTTGTTTTTTGGCTTTTCTTGGCATGGGACCATTTAAGTGGAAGCTGAGAGATATGATGGTATTCCTAAAACAAGAAAATGTATATATAGATAGGTTTATGCAACTATGCAAGTGTAGACCTTTTTTCCTCTTATTTATTTCTTGATTGTTTTATGGGGTTTGTGGGTATTGTTCTTTTCTGGGTATCTATTTGTTTAGGTTTATGAATGAATATTTGCTTATTTACTCGAACAATTGCAAAAATGTTTACTTTATTATAATCTTTTCACTTTTGGATTGTATTAGATGAGTGGGAGGGGTCCCAATCTTTTGATTAAGTGATGGTACCTTTTGGGGACTGGATTTTGCATACATAATGTTGGTTTGATATGTTTTTTTTAAGTGTGTACAGAATTCTGTGTGTGGGTGTAGCTATAGTTTTTTACCATTATTTAGTGCAGCATGGTCATAATAGTTTTTCATCCCAGTGGGTGTGTCGGACTAAGAGATCATCTTTATCACTAAGTACCTATATAATTACTTTAGGTTCTAAATGAATACCCCAAATGAAATTTTGGTAGGATTTATCTTTGACTCGGTGCAAAAGAACTCATAAAAAACGTATGAAAGAATTTCATAATTACAATAGAATGGGTTCATTACAATATATTGTAGTTTCTGTACCCACTTAAATGGTCTCTTGTTCTTTCATCTATACTAATAAGATAGACCCAATTTGAATCCATTTGTACCCACTGTTTTTGTGGTTGCCTTTGTTAATTTTGTGTCCATATTCTTTAAATTTTCCTATTTGCACAACCCTTTTTCTGAGTTTGGAAGCAGAATGAGCCATACCCATAAATCACTTAATTTTAGTGTTACATTGCATACGCATAGCTTGCTTCACCGGGTCACTTGCTTTTTGAGAGGAGGTAAGCTACTAGTTTTTGAGTATGTAATTTTTTTTTAATCCAAAACATCTATAATAATAAGATAGAACCCTTTCATCTCAATTCTTCCAACTTAATCTAGAGGCTCACATTTCATCTCACATAAAAAAAAAATCCCGCCCAAATCAAACCCACCCCCTACACACTACCCCCTCCTGCAGTCTACCCAAATCCCTTACAACTACTCTTTCTCCTGTTCACTAGTCACCTCCTCTGCCATGGCTCATGGCTCAACACAGTGGCAGCACTGCTACCCAGACCCTTTACACTGCTACCCAGACCCCTCTCACTCCTCTGCCATGGCTCAGCGGCAGCACACACCGTTCACACCAATCTCAGCGGCAACACCAGCGGCGATCAAAACCTTTTCACCAATCTCATCAACCTCAGCCCAGGTACCTCCCTTTCCCCCTTTTTTTCGTTCAGCACCCTTTCACCAATCTCACCAAGCTCAGCCCAGGTGCAATGGGGGTTTCTTCTTTTATCTTCTTTCTTCTTTGTCTGTTGAAGCTTTGGGTCTTTGATTAATCTTCTTTGTTTAAATAAATAGAGTGTAATTGTTTAAGCTTTGGGTCGCTTTGGGTCTTTGATTAATTAGCCCAGCCCAGGTGTAATCGTTAAGCTTTGGATGAGAACATGACCATGACGAATAGTTTGAAGTTGTCTGTATTCACAAATTGTTGCTCTTAAAGCAATTCAACTTATTTAACTACCTTTTTCCAATTTGTTTGCACATGAAACTTGATGAATTTAATTCTCTATTGATTGAATGTAATTCTTGCATTAAGGCAATGCCTTTTCATTAGAAAAATTTGAGGCTTTTTTCTAATGAAAAGACATTTTCCAATTTGTTTGCACTCCAATCTGCTCGAACAGAAGTACAATGCCTTTTCATTTTTGCATTGTAATTCTCTATTGATTGAATGTTGTTCGGCAATGAGTATTTTGTTTGAAAATATAATGTCTTCCTCATTATTCAATTATGAATGTTGTTGTGGGTAGCTAAGGTCCTATACTTCGTCGATGGGCTGCCAATCATAGTTATCTAAGGCTTTAAAGGTGGCTGGCCAAACAATGACTTGGATTGGCAACATAGATTGGGTTGGATGTTAAATTGTTTTGAATGTTCAATTGGTTTGAATGTTATAGTTTGGAATTTTTAAATGTTCAATTGGTTCGAATGTTATATTCTTTGAAATAAGTTTGGTAAATTTTGAAGCGACAATAGCTTAAACAACATACTGCAACATCTTTTTGCTCCTAGGATACACAATGCCTCTTCTGCAAACAAGCATCTTGGCTATTAGTTACATAGGAAGCTTTTAAGAATAAACAAATTTAAGTGTTTTTTTTAATGTTAAATTGGTTTCGACTGTTATAGTTAATGATGTTTACTCCATTTACATGACAAACCCAATTTTTTTTTAATATTAAATTGTTTTGAATGTTCAATTGGTTTGAATGTTATAGTTTGAGTTTTTCGAATGTTTAATTGGTTCGAATGTTATAGTTTTGATGTTAATTGTGTTCATTTGGGTGTTAATTTGAGTGTTTTTTTTCAAATAAATTTAACAAATTGAATGTTAAATTGTTTTGAATGTTCAATTGGTTTGAATGTTATATTTTGGGTTTTTCGAATGTTCAATTGGTTCGAATGTTGTAGTTTTGGTGTTAATTGTGTTCATTTGGGTGTTTATTTGAGTTTTTCTTTGTCAAATAAATTCAACAAATTGAATGTTAAATTTTTTTGAATGTTATAGTTTGGTTTTTTCAAATGTTCAATTGGTTCAAATGTTATAGTTTTGGTGTTAATTTGAATGTTATATGTTTGATAATACCTCAAAATAAATCTCAAGTGCCAGCTCAGGAGGTCAAATCAGCCCAGGAGGTCAGACTAGGCAAGCAGAACTCGGAAGAGTAGAGCTGGAGGTCCCCTCGAGATAAGCAATGACAATGAAAAGCAAGGCAACAACTAGATAATCACGAGAGGTTCCTAAAGCGTTAGGAAGCTATAATCAAGGCACCTAATCTCATCCAACCAAGATCTTCTCCTAAAATTAGGGAGAACCCCACAAAGTAAGGGCAAGAATCTCGGCCAGGATCCCACTTAGCAGGGAATGACCCTATAAATGCAATGTAACACCTCCTAACAGGGGAGAAAACCCTAGTGGCAATAGGAAGTCATAGCAACTTTGTAATCATCATGAATAAAACAAAAAGGAGCAAGAACCTCCATTGAAGAGTGGACTAGCCGAGCTCCTGAGCCGGTGAACCACTATATTTTTACTGTGTGCACCCCTTTAATCCCCTGAATATTTTATGGTAGCATCATACACGAGCCTCGTAGCTCTGATCCATGCTCATCTCACATTACTTTCACCTTAAGCTCATCCACGTTGATATATGTTATTAGTTTGGCACCGTCTGTGGGAACGACTGTTCTTATTACATATAAAGCTGATTTTCCAGTGACTGATGGTATCAACGCGAAACATGAGCAGAAGTCAGACCAATCCTCTGCGGATGCAAGATCAACAGGAAGTCGCAAATAACAGACAACCTGAAAACGCGCAAGAAGCAGATCCCCCCATGGGGGGCCTTCTCATGAATAATGAGATGGAGGCCCTTCGTCTTGTCAATGAATGTCTGATAAAACAGAACGAAGAGCTCTTAAAGCTCCTACAACGCCCACAGGAGGCGCGATCGGCCCAAGGAGGTTAGAATAATCCACCACCAAGGGAGCAACCGCATCTCAAACCCCTCAGAGAAGTTAATGAGGTAGGAGAGAATAGCCAGACCTTAGGGCAAGAATCTCGTCTACCCCCTAGGAATGGTCACAACGAGGAAGTGCAAAGTCAGTATAAGGAAGGGGAGAGGAGTGACTTTTTCCCTTATCAATAGAAAAGAAGAGAACATCATTGGAAGTAACGTTTCAAAGACATCCAGCAAGAACTCAGCCAGATGAAGGAGGCAGTAAAGAGCAAGGCCCCAGTCACTATGGATGCCTTGGTGCAGCAAATTGAATCCCCATTCACTGCTGGGGTACTGCACTTCCCTCTCCCACCTAAATTCAGAATACCGTAGGTGAATGATTTCGATGGGACAAAAGATCCCGTGGACCACCTCAACACCTACAAAAACCAAATGGAGTTGCATGGATATCAAGANTATAAATTCAGAATGCCACAGGTGGATGCATTCCATGAGACAAAAGATCCCATGGACCACCTCAACACCTACAAAAACCAAATGGAGTTGAATGGATATCAAGATCCAATGAGATGCAAGGCCTTTGCTATCACCCTGAAGGGTTCATCCTTAGCATGGTTCAACAGACTCCCCCCAGCCTCGATTTCATCTTTTAAAGAGCTGTCAATCTCGTTTGTGTCCCACTTCATCGAAGCTCGGACCTATAGGAAACCGAGCTACCATTTCTTAAATGTGAAACAGGGACCTGATGAGAACCTACGGTCTTATGTCCAACGGTTCAACTTAGAATCCTTAAAGGTGGATGTTCCAGACGAAAAATTTGTTATTACAACCTTCATAGCAGGTCTGGGAGTTCAGTCAAAAGATCTGATGTTCTCCATCTCAAAGAGCCCCCAGGCTAGTATGGCGGAGGTGCTTGCCAAAGCAGAAAAGTACATAAATGGTGAGGAAGCGCTCCTCTCCAAGGTCGGGAGCACTTCGTCGAGAAATGAGAAAGGGAAGGAAGAATAGAAGAGAGAACGAAGTCCCAGAAAGGAAAGAGAACGAGGCAGGTCTCCAAGAAGAGATAGAGAGCGTTCCCCGAAGAGAAGAGGAAATGTCAAGGATTGCCTCAGCCCTCCACAACCAGAGCTACAACCAAGGTATGTACCCTGATAGCTCACCCCTCTGACTGCTACGGTGTCTCAGATACTATATGAGGTGCAAAATAAGAAGTTCTTAAGGTGGCCACCCTGGATGAAAGCAAACCCGGCCAAAAGGGATCCTACGAAGTATTGTGACTTCCACAGAGACCATGGTCATCACACCGACAACTGTATCCAATTGAAGAAGGAAATAGAATTTCTAATCCAGCGAGGGCAGCTGCGACGCTATGTGGCCAATGATAATCAAAATAGAGCTCTCTCACCTCCACCCCCTCAGCGTCAGGGACCAGAGCCACACCAGCAACCTATGGGGGAGATTAGAGTGATATCTGAAGGATTTGCCAGATGAGGAAAGTCCAGCTCTGCCAGAAAGGCCCACTTGCAAAAAATCAGAGCCACAGAAGCTCCCGAAGTATATACTGTGTTTAAGTCTCCACGCACTTTCTTAGATTCAGATCTGGAGGGTTGCCAACATCCCCATGATGATCTTTTGGTGGTAATAGCTGTGGTGGCCAACAGGACTGTCCATCGTGTTTTGATTGACAATGGCAGCTTGGCAGACATCATTTTTGCTTCTGTTTTCGACAAAATGGATATAGGAAGCGAAAAGCTTGAACCAGTAAGTGCCCATCTATTGGGATTCTCAGGAGAAAGGGTGTTGCCCCTAGGGTCAATCCAACTCATCTTGACCTTGGGTGACCCACCCTGTCAGACCACAATAACTGTGAAATTTCTAGTGGTTGATGCACCTTCAGCATACAATACGCTCATTGGAAGACCTTCATTCAATTCTATATGGGCTATTCTCTTTGTCTATCACCTTGTAGTGAACTTTCCAACATAAAACAGAGTTGGAGTGGTTCGAGGAGACCAGCGTGTAGCACGGGAATGCTACATGACATCCATGAAAAATAAGGAGGTTGAGAGCATCCAAGTGGATGAGCTTGACATGAGGGATGAACTCGAGACCAGGCCAACACCATCAGAAGAGCTGGAACTTGTTCAAATTGATGAGGAGCCAGAGCATCTTGTTTACGTTGGATCCAAGCTGAGCAAGGAGATCAAGGATCTCCTCATCCAATTCCTGAAAAGGAATAAGGAAGTTTTTGCATGGAAACAAGAGGACATGAAAGGGATTGATCCCTCTGTCATCACTCACAAGCTCAGCGTGAATCCAGCCTATAAGCTCATTAAACAGAAGAGGAGGAGCTTCACCCCGGAGCGTCAAAAAGCCATCAACGAAGAAGTCAGCAAGCTCCTTCACACGAAAGCCATTCGAGAAGTGGATTACCCAGTCTAGCTAGCTAATGTAGTCCTAGTCCAAAAGACAAATGACAAATGGCGTCTTTGCATTGACTTTACAGACCTCAATCGTGCTTGCCTGAAAGATAGTTTTTCTTTACCCCGGATAGATTTGATTGTAGATGCCACTGCGGGACATGAGCTCCTCAACTTTATGGATGACTTCTCTGGGTATAATCAGATCAAGATGGATTCCAGTGACCAAGATAAGACCTCATTCATAACTGAGCAAGGGATATACTGCTATCAAGTGATGCCTTCGGGTTAAAAAATACAGGAGCCATTTACCAACTCCTGGTGAATAAGATGTTTCAAAAACAGATTGGAACCTCCATGGAGGTCTATATTGACGACATGTTGGTCAAGTC